TGGGAAAAAAGAATCTGCATCGGCGTGGCCTATTGGAATGGGGTTTCTGTCAAGGTAAACGGTTGTCGGCAATGACTGTGGTAGAGTGGCGATAAATCCCATTTTATTGCTGAAAAATTCCAGCTTCTCTCCATGCCTGACAGCTCCCCAATTTCTCATACCCATTTGGGCAATTTCTGCGCTATGTCCATCTGGTTCTCATTACCTCTCAACCTGCCTGCGTCTGATCCAGAAAAAGCGCAGGTCAGAAACAGGGGAAAAGAACCGAGGTGATGGACAAAACAGAACGCAGGGTGGGGTGGGGTGGCCCTCGGGGGTCGGGGTGGAGGTGAGGGAACAATGGGCAAGTGGGGGTCTCGGCTTGGGCTCCGGCCAGTTCCTGGAGGGGGCCATTCAGTTCTATTGCAGAATGACAGTGACAAAGCCAAGGCCGGGAGACCAGAGGAAGCTGTGTCTTTTAATTCAGTCCTTTAAAAGGCACCTGCTTTAAGGTGGAGAAGAAAGGGTAATGTGGGAGGGGTGGGTGGACAGGGCCAGTGGAGGGGAGCAGAGAAGGGGCAGGCCAGCCAGCCCCTCTACCCAGGGCCCCGCAGCCCGGGGCACACAGAGGGCCTGGTCAAGAAGCATGTCAAGTTTAAGCATCAAGTGTCATGCAGCTTGAAGCCACATGTACACAGTTGATGTGTTTCTAAATATGAGGCTAAAGCTCGGCTGCAGATACAATTTTGGTTCAAGAATATGATTTTTTGAAGGAAAAACTTGAGAGCCTCCATAGCCATCTCCATTCATTTCTCTAAGAGGTTGAATATTTCAAGATGAACTTGTCTTAATCGGCGCAGTTAGAACAGGTTCGTTCGTGGAGTGACAGGACTAGCAGTGAGTCACCTGGATACACATAACCCTACATTATTATTTTTAGTAGAATTGCTGTGAATTTATGATTATTATTTTTAGAGTTGCTCTGAATTTATGCTTGCAGAAAGTTGGCTGCATTCTCTGAGGTGGAAGTTGTTTTGATCATAATTGCTTTGGGCCCAAAATTACTCCTAGTTAGCTTAAGATGCCTCTTGGGGACAAAAATATAGTAAACATCTGATAATAGATATAAACAATAAGCCCACTGAGATACTGACCTAAGTTAGGCTAGGATGAAACTGCCTAACTATATATATATATATAAACTTTAATTATGATGATTGTTATTATGAGGTGATCATAATTAATGTTAGGACTAAAGTGACAGTAAGTGCATTAAGCATTAAGTATAAATGATGAAGATCAGAGAAGTTTTAATCAAAACATGAGAACCGGATGAATGGTTAGATGGATGGTAGTTATTTCACCACCTGTGCTGGGGGCAAGTTTTATATGCAAACGTCTCACAACCTGGTAGATGAGGTGTTCTTAAATACGTTGGAGAGCAGTGCCATCGCTCTGATTGGCAGACAGGATTTTTCACACAAGATGTGACTGGACAGACAGACAGACAGACAGACAGTATGTCTCAGGGCCTTCTGGGCTCCAGGGTACAGGCCCCTTTCAGGTCCTCAAAATTCACTTTTTGACAGTGAGACCCCTACGGGCTCCCACAAATTCCTGTTTTTTATTGGTTGAATTCTAATATAAAAATGATGTTAAATTTTAGTTGCTGAGCTGGCCCTTGTCTCTATCGAGACTAGAGAGAATGGCTTCCAATATTTAAGATTTAATTTCTAAGTTTTCAACCCATGCACACTCAAAATAAATTCTATAAAATGCACCTGAAATCGTGAGTGAACTCTGTTTACATGGGAGATGTACATGGAGAAAGAGATTGTTTATAAAAGTTTACACGTTTGGACCGAAGTAAATTACAGAGGGTCAAAACATGAAAGTTAGTTGGCAACTTTAAAATGAATAATTTCGGTCAACAAATACAATTCCAAAACAGAAGTTTCATGTGTACACCTTAAAAGGCATGATAAACCTTTGCCTCGTATCACATATCCATTCAAGTGACCATGATATGGCATCTTTAATTTGGAAGGTGATTTTAGATTCTTAGCCAAAAAGAGTCTGTCTTGTGCTTTACTTTTCTGGGCTGTGCATATATCAGAGATATGTGATCACTGAAACTCTAAAGGATATTTGTTTCTCTTAATAGCATAACAGAAAATTAATGGCATGGGGGAGGGGTGAAGTGACAACTTAACTTGATGCTTGATAGCTGTTTACTTATAAATGTGCGCCCAGATTTCAGTGTCCTGTAAAAAAGAGGGAAAATAAAGAGACCGAAGCATTCACATGGCTTTTAGGGAACTTAAGACACATGGAAGAGAGTGCTTACTTAGAAGGCTATTGAAATATTTACAAAACAAATCATTTACATTTAACTTTTGTATATGTAAAACCCGGAGTGCCCACAAAAAGACAGAATCAACTTTCGCTGTAAGAAATATTTTGGCATCAAAATGGTTAATAGTATTATAGCTTCAAAAGAGCCCATTGGCTCACCCTCAAGGATGCCCGGCAGTTGTTGTTAAAGTCATCAGATGAAGCTAGCCTTCTCAGCTAGCCTTTAGATTTGTCTGCTAACAGTAAAAATACTGTAATAAATCGGTAACATATGTTGCCAGACAAGGAAAAGTGATACAAATAAAGAGACTAAGAGACCCAAACCAAGTACAATGTGAAAAGAATTTAACTTTCAATCTATTCGTTGGCTAATTACCATTTGAAAAGTAATTTGAAAGTGTTACTGTTATTTGCTTATATTCTTCCTCATCTTTCTTTTTTTTTTTTCTCTTCAGATTGCATTCTTACCCAAATACTCCTCGCGATTGACTGTTTTTGCGGCTTTGGGGTAAGTCCCAGTTTTCCACAACCTTAAGGAAAAAAAAATGCATAACATAAAAGATGCCAAAAAGACTTATGTGTCCTGATGTGCGGGTTTTGTGAAATACGTGGGTTTGTTGGGGGGTGGGGTGGGTGGGTAACGAAATAAAGAGAAGGGGTTTGTTTCTGCAAGGATCAAGAGTGTGGGAACGTGTGCATTGCAAACGAGGCTCCCATCAGGAAAGCCACCTCTGGAATGGAAATGACAAAGCTCAGAACACACACAATCAATTATTTTCACTAGCATTTAAAATACAGAAAACAAAATCTGCTTTGGAAATTGACTGAATATTTTATTTAGCTTTTTTTATTGAGACATCTTTTGAAAAATGGCATAATATAAATAGTCTCACAAAGCAACAATATAATCAATCTCTAAACTAGAATATAAATCAAGGATTTCATTAACTGCTGGTAGCCAATTTAAATTGTAGTCTTGTCCATAATGTCTATCTATCTGTGTATGTCCAAGTTATATTAAAAACCTTTAAATGGCTTTGTAATATCAGCTACATCTAGCTATTATAATAATTAATGGTACTGTTTTATAAATCAATACATGCATTCTTGATAAATTCATATCCAGTTAATGGTGTAATTTAAATAAAAAATTAATGTAATAAAAGACATACAGAAATGGGCAGGAAATCTTTAAAGGTTAAGAGACAAATTTGTCTAAATTCATTCTTAACCTGTTTTGAAAAAGTTTATATTTCAAATCAGCTGAGATTTACCTTGTTTCTGTAAAATAAATCTTGCTATGTCCGCTGGTTTCTAGTATTGAATTTGTAAGATATTTTTAACTGCTAAGTTTTAATTACATACTTATATTACTATGGGACATTTTGCTACCATGATACTCTTGCAATTATTGAATATTCTTTAGAAAAATAGGACAAACTAAAATCCTCGAACCAGTCATTTATTTTTAATACATGAATGAAATGTAAATGCTTTATTTTTTTGTATCTACAAATGAACTCTTCTGAAAATCACCACAGATATATGTACAAATTTTATTTAAGGAGAAAAAGGACTGATTAGTTCAGTGAATTTGCATGTGTAAGAGCCCGGCATTTTTACTGCTTTCACTGAAGGAGCACCCTAGGAATTTTAGAAAGAAAAGAAAAATGCCTTGTAGGAGTCCAAAACGTATTTTAACGCTGCACACGGGTGGAGAAACATTCTACAAAGAGATGTGTGTGTGTATCACTGCTCTGATTTTAAAAAATACATACCAAAGGCATATTAAAGAAGAACAAGATTTAGAAAAACAACCAGTTGTTGTATGTTATCAGATACAATTTTCAACCTTGCCAAATAAAATTTCATTGGGCTTATAGCGTAAGCATTTCATGAAAAATATCTTTCAGAAGCACGCAGACCGGTCGGCCCTGCCACTCTTGGTGACATGGTGCAGAAATGCTACTTTAATCCACCGAGCTTTTTCTGACATTTTTCTCAACATTGCTGAGCCTTATTTAGAGCAGCAAAGGAGACGTGTACAGTTGCCTTTGACACTGATGGGTGTTTCAAAATGTTACAGGCGAGAGAGAGGGAAAAAAGGAAAGATTTGCTGCCAGTCACTTCAGCAACAGAGCTACACGAGCAATCATTATTTGTTAAAAGTTTACATTTCCAATGAAGCTAAATTTCAACGAAGGCTCATCCTTTTGCAAGAGCTGCTGCTTGGAAGAGGAGGGAAGAGAGGGATCATTCCTGATTGCATGTTAAAGTGCACTCCAGCACGGAAACCGTTTAAAATGTATCATGTTTTTAGACGAAATCTACAGCAAAACCACTCCTAAGAGGCTTAATTTAGGTTTTATAGGGAGAACATAAAAAAAGATCGGGTTACAGCAACATGCTGAAATATGGGGTACATTTTAAATATCTTCATTTAAAAAACGTATGTTTATTTTCCCTCCTGGGATCACTAACGTGTGTCTCGACAGGGAAAGCCGGGACATGCTACATTCTTAAAAATTATCTGTTAAAAGGATCACATTCCAAGACAGGTTTGAGGATTTTTATTACTCAGATAACCTCTTAATTATGTCACTGCCTTCCACTTGTTAATCAGGGACATTCAACATGGTTAAGCCGAGGGGCCACCTTAAGAAGACTCCGCGATCATTAAGAATTAGAAACTCATTTTATGGCCATCACCCTGTTATTGCGTGTGTGATTTTAGCACTGCTGAAAATTTATTTACTGGCTTTAAATACAAAACACCTACGAAAAGGTCTAGATGCTTACAACGATGTTAATTACTTCAAACTGTGCAGCTCATGAAAAGCTCTAAGGGACAGATAATTTTGCTTTTCCTGTCTCCCCTTCTCCCTCCCCCGCCTCTCACACCATTCCTCTTTGAACTGATTTTAGGTTTCTCCTGCAGCCACCAGCACCTAGGACACCCAGGGACTCTTTCGGGGAGCAAGGTGTAAGTGGAGTAAATAAAACCATGTTTTACTGTTGCTTTATCAACCCTCCTAGGTAGTTTTCCTGCCAGCCAACCTGCGCTGTTAGGACCCATAAAATTATGCAATAGTGACTTCTTTGGAGGCTCTCTAATCAGATAATGGCCAGTGTTAGGAGGAAAGGGCCCAAGGCAATGGTGCTGGCACTTAACACGGGGGTTGGTCATTACTTGTCTGGTAGAGACCAATAAACAGCTGATTACTATCCTATAAGGACCCAATATTTTACATTTATCCTAGATATTTTTTTTGTCTTTTCCACTTCTTATAGCAGCAAGTATTTGTCAAGAAGATCTATGAGGAATAACCTCACAGGCCCTTTAAAAATAAGAATCTTCCTAGAATGAAATGATGCATTTTTGTGAAATGGTGAGAATGATTTTGGTTTTTATAAGAGCAAAGGTTTGATCACTTTAAAGTCCTTTTTTTTTTTTTCAGATGTGGACACTTCCGGACATTATCCCCCACTTTCCTGTCCCCTTCTCTTCTCTATGACAGGTTCACAGGCTGCAGCCAAGGGGCGTTAAAATGCAAATATTTATATTTGAGCTCTGGCTCTAACAGAGTCATTTTGCTTCCTCTGTTCGCCTGTGATAATTGATGCTTCATACCTGGAACTATGTTTCCTTTATCTCTTTACACATGGATGTGATATGTACATACAAGGTAATTTATGGAAAGGAACTGGCCATTTGAAATAATAATCCCAAATTTGACCATATATGTGTGTGTGTGTATGTATATAGTTTAATACATGTATATGTATGTACATACTTTTTAAAGTATATATATTGTATATATATACACACATACTTTTTTAAACCTTAAAGAGTCAGAGATGCAGGGTTCTACTTTTAAAGAAAACTTGATTGCAACCCAGGAAATTTGTCCATGTTTAAAGTCATATTGCATCTGAATGCCTGCATGGGTCAAAAAAAAAAGAAAAAGAGGGATAAAAAGAAGGCAGGAGAGAAAATGGTGTGAATTTTACATGTGCTTTAAACAAATGTATTCAACCACATGTTTAGACTTCTCCTTACAATTTTATTACCTTTCTCTTTATGCCTGAATATAATGTCTAATAGCTCATAGCAAAGCGCAAAATCGCGAGCCCTGGGAGGAATCTGTCCTTCCCTGGGACCCTCGTGTTGGAACAGGCAGATGTGTACCCGAGGAACTGGCCCCCAATTTCACAGCCTCATACAAAGCCAGGCGATTCTTGAGCCAAACAAACAAAGGGGGTGTAAGCGATTTCATTTATTTTGATAATCCTCCTCCTGCACAGGAGCACTTTGCTGTCTTTGTCAAAGTGAATGACAACAATTTGGCCAACTCTCTCTGAGCCGCGCTCAACAGTGACAGGCAAATTATCAGAGGCCCTGCACTTCTTATTATCAGAGGAGAAGCCATCAGGGGGACGCGTGGAGGATACCTCTCCCTTGTCACTATTTGTCAGTGGGACAAGGGCCACTGCTATGGGTAGCTGACAGGTAATTTCAACAATAACAATTACTCCTATTACTGGTGTCATAAACAATTCACCCAAGGCATGGCAATAGCAAAGCTTTATAATTCAATGCCACATAAATAAATGCCAGCAGGTAACAAGTAATTTAGCTCCAATCAAGCTTTCACCCCAGAATTAATATTGTTATTGCAAGAAAATGGAAAATTGAAAAAATTCAATATGTTAATGAATTAAGAGAGGTTCAAGGGTTAGACAAGAGGGGCTGAGAAAGGGAAACCAGAATGATTACGGTGTCTCTCGCAGTGCCATCCTGGGCCCCACATGGCACGGTGACCCCTCTCAGCGAGGCAGGGGCACGGGCGGGGGCTGCTGCCCGAGACGTCAGACCTGGCAAACATGTGACACGGCCTTTAAAAAGCCACCTCCCTCCAATTTCTGAAGAATATAAGTAGAAATACGAGAATGTGTATGTAATGGAGCGTTTCACTGGCTTTTTCTTCACCTGAAATATTTCATATGAAACAGAGACATGAGTATCAAAGGAACATTTCCAGCTGTTTAAGAAAAACGCATCAGCACCTGCTTCCTTTACATTCAGTCTCATGATACAATTATGTTAGTGAGCCCGTTTCTTATCTGCGGTGAAGGTAAAGCCGAAAATCCCTCTTTGCTCTCCAGCTGCTCTCACCTTTTCGAAGTGGGCTGGAGGGTGGAGCCCACTCCTCCTCGGCCAAACTTCCTGGTTGCACGAATTTGCAATTTCAGTATTTGTCCAGGGAGACAGGGTGCCATCACAGGGACAACAGTAAAAGAATTTGAAAATCTCTAATTAGGAGAACTCAGAGCAATTAACGCATGTCAAATTTCACTTCGTCAAGTGCCACTCTGATTTTCCCTCTAAAAATTAATGGATTTTTTTCCCTTTTGGTGTGTGTGTGTGTGTGAGTGTGTGTATGTCCCCTTAAGGCAATGTTGATTCAAATCTGCTCAAGATGCAGTGTTGCACAGCTAAGCATCTCCTTGATTACAATCCGCCACACTTCTAACTGCGCTCATTCTCACTGCCACGGATACTTTGTCAACAGTCAAATTACACCACGCTGATAACAATGCATAATGGTGCTTCTGCTCCGAGGCCCCTGGCAGGGGATGGAGTTCATAATGTGTGATGTTTTCTCTTCAGCTGTGTCTAAAGGAAGTTGGTATCCCCAGGTCACTGGTCAGACATTAATTTTTTTGAGATTAATTTGTTAATTTCAAGAAAAAGAATGAAAGAGTGGCATATGACGATGCCTCCTTGGGGAAAAAATCAGAGGAAGAATGAGGGATTGAGAATATCTGTGGCCAAAGTTTTGCTTAAACACTTTGTTAAGAGACATTTTCAAGAGCACTGTTCTTGGTTAAATACCAGATTTTTTTTCCTTCTTTACTTATGGCCTATAAACATTGGAAGCCTCTCTTGAACAGACAGTATTTAGATTGTGAGAGAAGTTTGTTTAACTGCCATATTTGCCAGAATCCTCAAAACATCACAGGACACAGAAGATAAATGACTTTTTTTTTAAGGTCAGGATTGTATAATCCAGATAAATGTTCATTGATTTTAACTATTTTTTATCCTTGCTGCTTGTTGAAGATGGGTGAGCCTCAGTTATCAGCACATGTGGGAAACATTTCTCACTGGAAAAATGAAAGAAATGCAGTGATTAGAAGACAATTTTACATTCAGTCTTTTTAGATTTTTCAGATTTTATGTTACTAAAACCTGATCAGATCGGGAACTAAAATGGGGAAATTGAACAAAATGCTAAATGTATTTCTTTGCAGATCCTTCAAGGGGTGGAGAGCTTCAAATGGGTTGACGTCCTGGGCTTCTCGTCATGTAAGTCTATTTTTGGTTACATGTTTTCTTTAATTGTATTTATTCTGTAAATAACCTAGACTCATGGAATATACACTTCATCTTTTAAATTCACAGGCTGAATTCAGCTTTTCATTTTCCAAGAACAAACACGAAAATCTAAAACTTGGCATTTTGAGGTTTGTATTTCCAAATATTAAAAACCCCTTCCTTCCCTGATGGCCCCACCCTGGTTCTTAAGTGGTCTATTTCAGACAAAAGAAAATAACATCCCCCTTTTCAAGTAGCAAATGTTAGATTCTGCCAAGGCCAACTGGGGACTCACTGGAAGTTTTGCAATTAGATTCATACAAATTGAATTATTCTCATGCCCCCAAACATTGTTCTTTGAACTCTATAAATATAACAATGCTGGGTTTAGAGTTTCATAAGTCTTGTTTACAAATAAAGGTATTGTGATAAAAGCCAAGCCCTGTGTACTTCGGAAAAACAAAGCCCTGGAACAATCTCATATTAAAACATTACCAAAAGATTGCAGAGGGAAATTTAAAGGGAGAAAACTTGATTATATAATGCAATCCAGCAGTAATCAATTTTACCTTCAATATCTTGCTTTTGTTTTCAAAATGCTAAATAAACAATACATAATGCATCCCTCATCAGCCAAACCATGGAGGCTCTGTGCTCAAATAACAGGAAACATATTCAATTTTCCTAACAGAAGACAGTTCATTAAGCTGTGCCACATCAAATAAAACTTTAATTTCTCTAGCATCAGAGTCGCAATGAAAGCAATTGAAGAAGATGAGCCATATGGTACTTCTATCAGCAAACACATATTGCTCATTCCCCCAAAGTTTTCTAATTCTGCTCCCCAGACCTGTGTAATATAGATAATGTGCTTCGAGAGCAGCAACCATGAGCTATCTAGTGTACACTTCTAATACTGTATTTAATGGGAAATAATGAATCATAAAAGCCTAGAGAAGACGGCTTTTGCTAACCTAAATCTCAGCTGTAATTTCATTGTTCTGTGCCTAAGATGCTGTTTGCCCTTTTCAAACAACAGCAGTTGAACATAATTATGCTGCTTCAAACCTGGGCTTGAAAAAGCATTCCTAATATAACCAAGTTTCGATTAACTCCTGAAATTCTGAATTTAATGACGCGCCGATGCAGACACTGGGATAACCCAGCACGTGTCATTTTAAACCCCAAATAAGCATTTTCTCCTTCTTCTCTTTGGCAGGGCTGCTCCATGCATTTATGTTCCCTCCTCCACCCCCTTCTGCACCCCCACCCCGTCATGCAACAGGAGTGGCATTAAAAATGAGGAGATTTTCTTGTTATTAGCAAATTTGACATTTGCCTGATGAAATGCACATAAAATGTGAAAGCTACACCGTATTCAGAAGAAATGTCTTCACTCCAATCCAAGCTAGCAAGATGAAATAATTTAGATAAAGGAAATGCAGAGGTCCCCGTACATCTCTACTGCAGAATGCCTGGATGGTATTATCGATGAAAGAGCCAAATATTGTTGGGCTTTTACAGTGATGGTATTTTGACACATGTGCAGTGTATAGTGCTTCCTCTCTCACCTTAACTCCTTTGATTGTGAATCTAAACATAACGCATAGGTTCGAATGCAGCAATTTTTGTGTCATTGGTCCAGCCTCTTTCTGGCAAGATCTTGGGGCTGGCGCTTAATTCCCTTTTAGGAATTGTTAAACAATTTCAAAAGTGTTCCTCCCCCCACAAGCAGGTTGATTATTTTAGTTTTCCCATTTTTAAAGCTCATCAAATCCATACTTTACCAAAACGATGCTAATTTTAAGACATCATCGAAAACACTCCACAGATACATACTGAAAACATTTTAATGGTTTTGTTTGTTTGGGGATATGAACCAAGGACAATTAAATTAAAAAGAGACTTTTAAAAGTTAGAGATTGGCTTTTCAAAGCTTATTAAAACCAGCGTGTTACATGTCTGTCTCTGAATTAGCTCTCCACACACTCGATTGCCACCATTAAAACTAGTTGTTTGGGTGCTGTTCTCTGTGCTGGTTCAGACCCTTTCTCAAAGCCGGTTCTTACTAGTTATTAACTTGAAGCCTCTTTTCATTGAAATTAAAAAAAAAATCAGCCTAGCCCATGAAAGAAACAGTCACCAAAACATGAACTAGCACAGCGAGACAGCAACATTAAACCATGAAAAGACCAACAGGTAAAATAACCCCGGTAACATCTAAAACACACTCGGGGAAAAAAATCACAACAACAACACAGAAGCAGTCCATTGATTATATTTCATGAATGCCTGAAAACAAATGTTTAAACAGTTTTCCGAAACAGCGCAGAAAACCGGGGCATGCTCCACTGGCTGCGGTGACAATAGTCTATTGCAATGTAAAACACGCTGGAGGATAAAAAGGTGCTTTTTGTTACCATTTTATCAAAGCTGTTCATCTTCGAGCTGCAGGCAGCATTTTGCTGGAATTGCAGATATTTCTCTGTCCAGGCTCCTTTGTTTGTGCATCTCATTTGCATATATTTATCTCCAGCTGAGGGTGCTTTCTGCTCATTAAGGCCTCCCTTCACATTATTTCATAAGCCAGCTGCTAAGAGGGATTTCACCTGTGGTGAGTGAGAAAAGAGGGGTGAAAAACTAAATTCTTCATAAAAAAGGAAATCTTCTGAGTCTCTTCCCCTATAAATGGGCACCATTTGTGTTAAACAGCCTCTTGTCATGATAGATGCCTCCAGAGGTCAGGGGTTAAAGTTGATTTGAAGGTCAGCAGTAAAACAACAGACAAACCAGACGCCAAACTGGTTCCTTAGCTGTCGGTGGGAGCTGTGGTACAAACAGGTCTTGAACCTTTTTCAACCTCTAATAAAACAGGGGATGAATCTGAAGTGGATCAACCAGGCCCCTGAGGCAGCGGCACAGAAAAACACAAATAATATCAATATCAGGCAGCCACGGGAAACAATGGGACATTTCTCCCTGCTACATGCGTGCTGCTATTGTTTCAAGGGCTGGGGAATTAATTCCACTTATTTATTTAAGGCGTGTCAACTCACTGCCTAAACCTGTTTCAGTGTCAAGATGAATAAAACTTTTATGGCTCATAAAATAGAGCCATTCATCTCAATGTTCTTTGTGGTGCGTGGTGTTTTTTTTTTTTTTTCTGGCACACTGAGATAGGCCTCTGGTCCTACATGGTTACATCTGAACCCACTGTGGCTACAGTCCACACCATATTAGAGAAAAAAATGATTTCATTGGCAAATGGATGGCAACAGAAATGGCACAGAAAAGCATTTTAGCTGTGATGTAAGAGTCCCAAAATTCCTCCTAAATGCTCCTCGTGCAGTTGCATCTGTTTTGAGCATGCATTATTTACAAAGCGGAAGTTTTGTTATTTTAGAGAAAAGTTCAACACAGAGAGCAATAAAAAATTCGTTTTTTTCTAGAATGTTATCTATATGGATTATGTTAGTAATGCAACCTCGATAGGGCAGCCCTTTTCCAGCCGTCATTTTTTGCCCAAGGTTTTCCTACTGCATAGTCAGCTCGCACCCATGTGATAATCAAATGTCTTCTTTATCTCTACTGATTTGAATTTTATGTTTAATGTTAAACATAAAATGCCAAATATAGAGGGAAAAGAAAATACATTGAAATGCATTTTGTATTATAAAGTTTTTCAAAGTTCAGAACTAATTTTACTTTTGATTCCCAACTAATGATTTTAATAGCAATGTAATACTAATAACAATGACTATATTTTTATATGAAGTGCCACATACAGTGCGAAGCACATGACTTTTCTCTTGCGATTATTAGTGATACTTCAACCCAAGCCACATAGACCCATGCAAAATGGAATGTAATAATAACACTCTTCATTATTTAGGAAATACCTTAGTTAAAACAAAAAGTTCCCATCAAACAAATGTCATTATAGCAGGTGGTTTAACAGGTAACTTCATGGACACATCATTGCCTTATATTGAGCTAAAAGAAACAATTCGATGTTATTTTGGGATCTCTCCAGTCACCACTAACATCATGCACATTGTGGCTCTTTGCTCTATCACCATGTAAATTGATTTGTGGATGATTCCCTTACTATAGAATCTCAGTTGCTTTGCTTTTGAGCTCTACAATGAATAGTGTAGCTTCTGCTCATGATGCTAGATTATTTCTAATTTAGTCAGTTGGTAGGTCAGAGCTTTTCCCATGAACTCAAGTAGTTTCTTTGACATCAACGCAAACAGAAGTTGTGCTTCTGCATTTTGCTCGAGCACACAGATGCAGCCCCGAGGAGAGGAGTTCGGTTTATGGGTGCCAAGCACTGCTCAAGACTTAATTGCTCTTCATGTTCCATTTGAACTGCTGCGTGCACCAATCTCTTTGCCTAGGGGTGGCCCATTTACCAAGCAGCCCTGGTTAAAAATGGAATTGCTTTCAAGTGGGCCACCAGGCCCTGAGAAAAATACTTCAACTCAAAATTGATTGGGATTTAGTAATCTGTGGCAGCATGTTCTCATCTACGCATGGAGCAGGAGATTTTTTTCTTCTACAGCCATTACAGTTTAAAAAATGCAAGTAGTCTTGCTTCACGCAAGGAGCTCAACTGGAGGTTGGAGATGTTTTCCACCTTATTAAATGTTGTTTATACCCTCATCTTTGGAAACCCTCTGCCTTCCCAAAGCATTTTATGGCTCCCTCTGCATCTGACTTACAATTTTCTTCGAAACCTTCCACGTTAAACCTAACCTCGTTCTCACCCCCAAACCTAGAACCTCTAAGCAACTAGACAAAAGTAAAAACACAGTTTGCTCCCTGCCAAGTCTGCACCCATGTCTCTCATTTTTCTTCTACTCTAATCTAATCGCTGATTCCTAAGCTTGGCCAAATAGTTAAAAATGTTAAGTGCTAGCAAAGCCTTTTACCTCCCCCTCATATCTGTCTCTGTTTATGGAATGGGCCCGGTTTCCTCCTCTTCTCCTTCAGCCTGGGGTCTTCAGGTCAGAACACTGTAAATACACACAGCCCTGGCAGATCCATAAATCTGAGCAAAGGGCAGGCTTATATATTCAGATAAGCACAGTGGGGCAGGGGCTGGGAAGGACAGAGAACCGGCAGAATATGACACTTCGCAGCCGTGTTCAGAGGAGAGAAGAAAAAAGGCCAGGGACCGTTAGTGGGGAGGGGAAAAGATTTTTGTCTTGAAACATCCCTCCTAATTTCTAAGGGATGAGGAGGTTGGCACTGCTTCCTCTTTTTTAAAAGAATTTTTATTTTTTTACCTGTTCCACATTGCTTATACTCACATCCTTGCTGAACATACGGTCTTGGAGGCAGTCAGATTAAACCCTAAATTTCATTTATTTGCAATGTCCTTTTTCACTCTTAAGTGTATCTGTTTGTGTTTTGAACTTGGTTTATGTGGGGTATGTGTGTGTGTGTGTGATGTGAATTGGAGTCATTTTACCAGGAATTCTTCTGTACTGTAATTTTTCAAAGCCAAAGTCTTTGATTAAATAACCATGTTATTAGTCACCAGATTGAATCCAAGAAAAATATGTCTGAAGGAGTTAGGAATGACAAAGTGATAAATAAAGGGTTACATATCCTTCAGCGTTCAAGGCTTCTACAGTGTTCCTGAGTCAGTCTTTTCTGTAGGGTTTTTGGAAACCAAAATTGCCTGTGACTTCTCAAGACCATCCCATCTGGGGAGATGTGCCCCCTGTGAACACAGCTATTGTCCCAATGAAAGGGCTGAGCGAGGTGGCTGTGGCTGAGGACACACTTCTTGTCACTCCTCTGCCTTAATTATTCTTTCCATGTGACCAGTTACACCTCAGAGTTGCCTTAGCCATTGAAGATGCAGGAAAATGTGGCACTAGATTTATTTTTATCCAATATTTTACATTTTATTACATGCACATATACATAATTTTTCTTTATGTTTTTCTTTTGGTTAATAGAAAACTTTTTTTAATGCTAATTCGTGTTTCTCAAAAGATTTCCTTTTTTGGGGTTGGGAACTTAGTGGAAATTCCATGTAGGTAAGAGAATTTCATGAGAAAATTGACAAGAGAGTACCTGGGCAGGCAGCCCAGAGCATTTTCTACACGGTAGCTTCTCCTTGCACAAATCCTTTAGGCAGTAATAGTAAGAATAATTATGACCGTTTAGTGAGCACTTACTTTTGGAAAGCGATGTGCTAGGTGCTTCAGGTATATTTTAATTAAAGTCCTTACAACAACGTGGCCAATAAAGTATTATGGTCTCCATTTATAAGTGAAGAACTCTGGTTTGGAAAGTGAAAAAACTTATCCCACAACATACACCCAAGTCCGGAATTCGAACGTGCCTCTGGCCCCCTGAGTTGCCTCTCACGGCCTCAGACTCTGTCTTCAGGAGGAGGGTCTTGGGTGGAAGGTGTCTCTTTAGTGGTGACATGTCTGGGTCAATTTTTCCAGCCCACACCACCTCTAATGAAGACTACCTGGTCTTGGCATTGTTAACAGATCCCTGGTGTCTTGGGCCAGCTCCCACAGACCTTTGGACCCCATGTCTGAGACTGAACTTCACCCGATCTGCTTCTGCCTTACGGTCCGTGCACTGATTCCTCGGAGCCCTCTCCAGTCCTCCTGTAGCGGAAGCTGTAGGCTTTCTCACCGCCTCCCTCTCTGCTGTTTCACTTCCCGTGAGCCAGCCCGGCAGTGTCGTGACAAGTGCAGGGGGCATCACAGTCCCACTGCTGGGTTTGAATCTTGGCTCCCCTGTTTATGAGCCATGTGATGTGGGACAAATTATTCCTCTGTGCCTTGATTTTCTCACCTATACATGGGGTCTAAAGGACCACTTATTCTATAAGGTAGCCTACTTCAGATTTTTGGTTTTGCTTGAATGAACTGTTACAATAGGCTTCAGGCTGGTTTCTCTGTAGCCAGGACCTTCCTCCTGCCACTCAGCCTTCCTGGCTTCCCCAGAGCTATCGTTATGTAATAATAAACATGACGCTCTCTTGCTTAAAAATCTGTAAGACTTCATATTACCCTCAAATATACCTATTCAGTAAGGCAAAGTCCTCATAATCTCCTGCCAACTGGCCTTTTTGTGGTCATTTTCCATAATGGCCTCCTAAACAATTTGAACACTGGCAGCAAAAAAAAATTACACATATGATATTTTTTCATGCCTCTAGACTTTTGCCCCCGTGGTGCCTTTACCATGAATGCACTTTCTTTCTGCTTCCATCTAGTGAAGCGCACTTATCTTGCATGGCTCAGTACAAAGGTCACCTATTTTTTAGGGCACCATAAACTGAGTGGGTCACCTCTAGATGCATCCCTCTGCTTTAGAACCTAACATATGACATGGTCATTATCTGCACTGTATTTGTCTCCCATCAGGCCGTGGACTGCTGCGGGCAGAGGCATGTACGTTTCAACCGGATATCTTTTGTTCCAGAGTCTCACATATGGTGGGGGCCTCTAGATTCCGATTAATGTGTAAAATATCATTATCACTCCTAATCAAATGTCTGTAATGCTGTTAACTAGTTAGGTTAACGCTTGTTAGGTTAAGATGATAAAAGACAGTGAACTTGTAGCAAAATTAAATTAAAAACCCAGGTGCAATTATATTGTTCTTACTGTCTCCAGGATTAAGCCACAACGCTTTTCCTAGTATTCAATACATGTCACACGTTACACCTTTCTGACACCTTAAGAAAATGTGCTAATGGAAATTCTTCAGAACATCAGTAAGGTTTCTGTATTTGCTATAATGTTTCATTAGAAAAGGAGCCAGTTTCTTCCTTATCTGCCCTTGTGCTAAGCATGAGAAGCAGTTTCTCAGAGATTAGCAGCACAGGTTCTGAAGCCGAGGCGCCCGGGCTGAAGTTTTGGCGCTGCCACCTGCAAGCTGCCTGTGTGCACACCTCTCTCCAGGCCTGTTCTCTCACCTGTAATGTGGGCATCACGGTGACATGCACCACTGAGGGCAGTGGTGAGGATCCAGTGCGTTATTAGAGAGCATCTAAGGACTTAGATGCGTGCCCGGCCGAGAGTAGCTGCTCGATGACTGTGCCATGTGCTTCCTGTTTACAAGAGGACCTGGAGTCCTGGTACA